ATTTTTCCACTTTTGTGGAAAGAGACCTTTTCTCTTGGCTACAGTAATGTCTGTAGATACTAATGTCTGTAACTTGTTTACTCTCCTGTGAGTGTAAATTTCCACAGACTCATTCTGAACTATCTAGCTAACTGACAATAAAAATACACTGTCAAAGTTGGTTTCTCAGACATTTTATAGGAGTTGCAGTGAAATGATTTGCAAATGTGAGTACTGAATTCGGCAAGATAAACTAGAAAAGGCAGTCTCTGTGTTAGCATTTGTCGCTTCTATAAAATCCTGTGTGAATCTCATTGCACGCTGGTTTTTGATTCAATGAAATTTTTCCTCTGCTCATGTTTTTCATCATGCTTGTTTTAGATTTTTTTCTTACTTTTTTTTTTTTTTTTTTTTTTTTTTTTTAAACCACAGAAAATATGATAAGCATAAGGAGCTGTCAGAGCAAGAAAAATGCAAAACTGAGCAGAGTGTCTGAGTTAAGAGAAGCTTCTCTTGAGAGATGGAGACAAGCTAGAACCGGAGGGAAGACTATCTTGCTCACTCTATGTGCACATTACATTCCAGTGTATGAGTGCAGAACAGGGAAAGTGGGCTTTGTAAGAGGAAGGGAGAGTGCTAGCACTGCTCTGGGTTGTTGAGTGGAGAACAGATCTCAGGAGAAGATACCAAAATGTAAGAAAGGGGCAGCAGTGTTTTTTTCATTATCTGGGGAAATACAAGTTCTCTTGTTGTGCTCACCCTAAGGTGGGGTTCAGAGTTACTCCCATTGCTGTGTCCCCTCGCCTGCCTTAACTCCAATCCTTCATTTTCAAGCTAGTGAAGTCCATCTAAGAATGACTTCAGACATGACAGCTTTCTAAAAGCAGTTTCTGACAAGTGGGCACTAGCCCAGAAGGCTAAACAATTGCATGGGTTCTGTGAGAAAGAAGCCTGGAGGGACTGATTAGAGCAGTACTAGAGAGGTGTTAATGAATTCTGTCCTCATTGTAAAGCCATTTTGAAATCAAATTCGTCAATAGCTGCTTTGTCCCATTAAAGTACCATCCATCATTGCCAATTGTGATAATCCAAATGCAGGACATACCGTTTCTGTGCAAAGAATGACTTTTTTTTGGTTGTTTATGGAATATATTCAAACTTCCAGGTGTCTTCTACCAAATGTGAATGTGGAGGTTACAGTTGGGATGTGCTGCAAGATTTGAGTTCTGATATCAGATGCAAAAGATAGAGAAGACATTTCACTTTATGTTTTCTCGAGCAGTGCATATTTTGACAAGCAGCAAAGAATGCAAAAATAACTTTATGGCTTATAGTCTTTCACGTTGCAGAGCTGTCGTGTTTGCTGAATAGAATGGATTTGGGCTCCTATGTATCTGACTTGCCTCTGGCTTGAAATAGGTTGTCATCTTTTCATTACATTGCAAGAGAGTGCTTATTTGTGAAATTAATGCACGGTTATCCACAATGGGCAGATACAAGCTGATGTATTCCAGAGCATCTGGAATATCTCCAGTCTTCTATCTGTCTGTATCCCTGTCAGCCTCTGTCAGCTTCTTTCTGTCAGCAGCACTAAAAGGAGAATCAAGTCTCATCTCGTGACAGAGAATAACCTTAACCTAATGCTACCAAAGAAGACAGAGACTTTAAAAAATAAAAAATAAAGAGATCAGGTTATCCTAGATGCACAGGATTCATTACTTTTTTTGTGGAGCTGTAATGAAACAGTGTCTCAAAAAAAAAAAAAAAAACAACCATGCTGCTTCCCGTGGATTGTGGCTGGACTTGTACATGGACAATATTGTGTGCATTGCAGATCAACTTCAGGATACATCAGTGTTTCTAGCACCTCTCTTAGGCTGGCAACAGGTTATGTATTTCTGCAAGATACTTGGCAGTAATTTTTTTTACAGTAATCCCTTTATCTGCATTTTATGCATGCCTTCTCTAGAACTAGAAGAAAACTGCACAAATCTGCTGGCCATCGAGAAAGAGTAGATGTTATTTTTCTCTTGCCCATGGTAGAACTCACATCTGTGTGATACGTATGCTGGGGACATGGTATGTGAAAGTCTCTTGTCTGTGACTGTGCATGATGCAGACTGAGTTGGGGCAGGATATCTGAGCAAGCAAGTTTACAAGGAGGAGAGGAGAGTGCTGGCTGTGCAAGTGCAGCCCTTAATGGCTTAATTCCTGAGAGCAGGAAGTTAGGGGTGCTGTGTGCAGAAGCAGACATCTTGGTGTCACAGCAGGTAACTTGCACCGGGCAGCAGGTCTGAACTCCCGCCAGAGAAGGGTTTAAGTTCATTCAATTAAATTGGAGTTGTTGTAGGTCCTGCACAACAGAATGCAGTATGCATGCATGGGTGTTGAGTCTCAAGGAGGATTAGCTACCCAGATGAGGGATGCTCTGGACACAAATAACAGTATATAAATATATTCACTGATACAGAATGCCAGAAGGTAGCTTTATGTAAGTAGTACTAGTTATCATGTGCAGGGAAATTGTGAAGCTTGGAAATTTGCTGTGTCCCATGCTCTTATGCATGCCTGGTTACGGCTAGTGCATGCTGGTCAGTACAAGACTTGTGAGAGCTTTTCAGCTTGTCAAAAGGCTGTTGATGTATAAGGCACTTAAGATAGGTTTTCCATTTCTGTGAGCAACAAGTAATGATTCAGTGCCGTGGCTGACTTTGATAAATTTCAGTGTACTCCTAACTATGAGTTGCCTTTCTAAGATAATAGAAATCCATGCTGTTTCCCTGCAAGATTCATTTGTGAAAAGCTCTTACTTCAGTGCTCAGAAGGTAATACAGTAGGTAATTCAGGGCACCATTTCCAGCCACTCTGAGCAATATATGACTTAAACTTCAGTTTCTTCAGATGGTGCAGTCCAGTAGCTGGCAGAAAATTAAAATAAATAAATAAATAAAAATTGTTAGTCATTAATTTTTTGCTCTTGTCCTGGTAATAATTTAACAGGAAAATTTCTGCCCTCTGTTTGAGGCTGTTGGACTTTCTTGCTGAGTTCTCTTCGGTAGCACACTTCCTATGTGCATTTTATTGTGGCTTTGTTAACAATTATTTTTGTATTCAGTAGCTTCTCTGTGTGAGGGAACATTCTGATCATTTCACACGAAGTAGAAAATAACCTATGAGCCAAGAAGTTGATTTTCAGTCTTCAAAAGAAGTATTTGGAAACTCATCTGGCAGGTGAAGCATTTTCTCTCCCTGTCGTTACCAGACATTAAGTGTAGTAAGTTACTGATATTAAGATATAATAAATGTTGAGGGTGACTTCTGTGGGTAGAGTTGCCAGAGTGAATAAGAAAAGTTACATAAAACAGCAATGAAACCTTTATTCTGAGATATTCTTTCTTAGTTTGACATAAATTTTCTGTATACACCATGAGGTTAATGGCATGTTAACATTTATGCAGTAACCAAACATCAAAAACTCTTATACTGAACACATTAATTGACATGGGGAACTAATGCTAGCTCGTTCTCTTCACCAAGCATGTGCCCACCTCTTGCCATCTTTGAAAAAACATTAGCAAACTGCAGAAATTCTGCTGTTTGCTGCTGCTTAGCTATCCTAGCTTCAACATGATACATTGATTCTAAGTTGACTAAGGAAGCTGACTTCGACAGTTGCTTTAAGAGAATCTACCTACAGGGTATTTGAGTATCGCACTCTTTGTTTGACGTTCAGCTGTTCCTAAATTAGGCCAGGAGTTATTCCATACTACATGCTGTAGGCTGTAAAGCCTTGGGGAGTGGCAGCTGCTAAAGGCTTGCTGGGCATCAGCCAGCAAGGTAGTGAGACCTCGCGTTGTTGGCAGGCAGTTGGTGTTGTTGAGCATCACCTTGATTACCCAGGTAGCATATGAGCTCTGCATTTTGAGTGAACATCTCAAGTTTTACCTAGTAAAACTTGTATCGATCCAACTTGAGTTGGTCCCTGTTATTGGTATGTACTTGCATCTTCTTTTTGAAGAGGTAAGTTGTCATAATTTGTATGTCCAGACCCAGTCTTGAGTATGTATATATTATAATGCATGAAATAGGTATGAGTTAAACTAAAAGACATATAGGAATCCTTAAAATTCCCTTGGAAGAAGCACTGTATTTTTATTTGTATTTTTTATTTTGGTCTATAATAATTAATTCTTACAATATTTTATTTTTGTTTTTTCTTTTTAATGAATTTTCTGACCAGCAGTAGCTGTGAGGAAGTAATTCTTCTCTTTTTCTCCCTCTTCCCCCCAGTAAATTTCTGAATTTGTTTGGGCTAAAATAGCTGCTTAAATATGTGTAATGCTATTTTTTTTTTTTTTAACCTAATTTGAATAGTGCATTGGTGCCCTTATAGGTGTTAGGATTAGAATTCATAGTGTTATTTCCCTATACTAGTCTCCAAGTCCTGAAGACACTGAAAAATATGTAATGACCTGAGTTATTTCATATTGCAATTCCATGTCTCTCTGAGCAGGTAACTGTCTCTTTCAAATCACATCCAAGTTCATTTAAAAAGAAAAAACAACTTGCAAGGTGGAGGAATGTACAATTCACGTTATAGAAAGTGCTTATGATCAAGAAATAAAACACTAGGTCTGGATTATGTGAATGCTGTTGACGTGGATTGCTTATGACTTAAAAGAACTCCACTAAACTTTGTAACCCAACTTCTATCGTACTACAGAGCCTTGCAAGAAAAGTACTTAATATAGTTTTGATAAACATAAAAAAATAGAACATCAGAAGTTTTTTTGTTCAATGGTTTGTGAATTTTAAAGCCAAATTTATTGTATCAGGGAAGCAAGCTGTATGCTACTGACAGTGGATGATCCGAATAGCATTGTACGTTCTACCTGATATCCTAATTTTTTATGGGCTTCTGTTATTAAATATCTAGGAAATATAGATTGTTTTGGTTTAGGGCTGATTCTGTAGACTGTCTAGGATTTAATTCAGTTAAAATATTTAATTTTCTATTTTAGGTGTGGAATATCAAACAGATGATTAAATTAACACAAGAACATATAGAAGCGCTGTTAGACAAGTTTGGAGGAGAACACAACCCACCATCAATATATTTAGAGGTAAGTTTGTGCACAAATGAATGAGGTTAGATTATTGTGTGATATCTGCATCTTTATGTAAAGCATCCTATGTTAAATATAACTGTAGTAAGAGTACATTCTCCCCATCTTCTTGAAACCTAACTCTCTTTCTGTGGAGATAGAAGGGAACTGTGTGGGATTTCTGATATTTATCAGTAAGGGAAGATCAGTAGCGTGTTCTAGCAGTTATGCTTGTGCAACTGAAATATAAGACATCCTTTTTGGTGCAAGGGGGAAAAATTATGGGTGCTTGTATAGTACAGAAATGCATGTTCTGTTATTACAAGTCATATGTGTAACTAGCAACAGGACTAGAGGGAATGGCCTCAAATTGCACTGGGGGGGACATTTAGGTTGGATGTTAGGAAATACTTCTCCAAGAGAGCGGTCAGGTGCTGGAGTTGCTGTCCCAGGAGGTATTCAGGAAACATTTAGATGTTGTAATGAGGGACAGGGTTAGTGGGAAATATATGTGACAGGAGGAGAGTTCGACTGAATGATCTTAGATGTCTTTCCCAACATTGGTGATTCTATGATTCTGTACACACGTGAAGGCATAGGACTATCTTTGCCTTTAAAGCAGTTGCCTTGTTTTTTTTTTCCATTTCAAGTACAGTTATGTAGAATCCAAAAGTTGTTATTGGTAGAAGGAACCTTTCTTATAGAATTGTAGGGAGGAAGAAATAGTTTTCTACTGTACTTGATTTATAAACTAATTACAGAGTAAATCTTTTTTTCATTACTCAAAATTCATTAAATTGTGTTGAATTTCATGACACACATGAAACAGTCCATTAAGGACCATAGAAAGCCTATAAAAGACCATGTGCACAAGTTACATCATCTGTTAGGAACTGAATGAGTATCACTTGCTCCAAAACCTGCCCTCTTCTTGTTTCTTTCAAGTATTGAAATAACTGGAAGTCAAGCAGACTTATTTTGCAGTCTCTTCAATTGTAATTGCTGCCCAAAGGCACTGAGTAATTAAAGATCCCATTATTTGACATATTTCTAGCTTTTATTGTAATATGTGAGAGCAGGACAGTAACATGATTGTACAAATGTTGACAAAATGTCCTTAAAAGTTAAGGTCAAATTAGACCCTCTGTACTCCCTTTATTTGATGTGAAATGGAAGTATTGAATGAGCATTCATAGCTATTTTAACCACTCAGTGGGACGTAAATACGCCTGTTTTCACACGCACCTATTCATTCCATATCTTTGGATTTGATATTGCTGTGTATATGTTGGTTTTATTTAGTAATAGATCAAACTGGAATAATAATAAGTCCAATGTCTACTAAGTCTGGATTTCAGGTAACGAAAAGATTAGTTTCTTTACAGTCATTCTTTCTTTTTCTTGTAAAGAAATAAAAACTGAGATCCCTCTGCTGGAAGCCTTTAGATTGTTCCATAGCTCATTGATATGATAGAGGACATTTACAGTAGTAAGTCTTTACCCAGAAAATGTAAAGAGCCTGCTAAGTCTGAAATGTTTCACGATAGCGAATCATCAGGCTTAAAGTAGGTTTTTAAGTTTGATGGCTGCTTGTGTAGCTGAGACAAAGCAGCAACTCAAGTTCATCAGTGGAATATACAAACCTTGCAGAACAGACCATGGTATTTCCTTACCACAGTGAGTTGTGCTGGAGACTGACATGAAGTGAGTCTCACGACAAGTAATGCTACTTCTTCAGTTATTTTATTCTATGAAAAAAGAGCCTACCATCATTGAAATGAAAAGAGTTGGTTTTTCCCCAACTCTTTGTTCTATGGCTCCTCTGCTTCCTTTGCTCAGATATTTGCAGTACCTAAGATATTTTGAGACAATCTAAGAGGAAAATGTTCTGGTTTTGCTGAATTTGCCAACCAGTTGTATATTGAATGTGATTATGGTGAAGTCCCATGAGTCCCAGATACGTGGTTAGAGTTAGGGAAGGGAAATAGTTTACAGCTGTGAGCCAAGAGCCTAGAGATAGAGGTGAGTGAGAGGGGAACATAGAGGTATGGATGATCATCAGTTTGGATTAAATTAGCCTCAGATTGATGGAAGTGAGTAGCATTGAATGTGCAAACCAGTCATTTGTGTACTGTGTAGATTTCCTGCAGTAGAACTTAAGTGTGAGGGAAGGAAAAGAAATACATTACCAGGTAACATGATGCAAGACAGAAACAAGATCACTGTTTTCTTTTGACAGTTCATTTCAGCTGAGCAACAGTTATCTATCTGGTGTGTCCTTTCTGTGCCCTGCTAGTCTTTTTGGCTTGACCAAGAACAAAGACTGCTGCTTTTTTCAGAATTTACTTTGCAGCCATTTATCCGAGTGTAGTCTGCCACTGCTAGAGCTAATAGTTCAACTTTCTGCACTCATCTCCTTATCAGAAGAAGGACCAGACCAATCCTGGCTGCAGGATGGAAGGATGAAGTTGTATGTAAAAAGCTGTGAATGTAGTTTGATAAAGCAGTGAAGAACATTTCCTTCCAGAAATTGCAGAACTAAGAGAATACAGTAGTTTTTATATGCATAAAAAGAACAGGAAATTATGCAGAACACACGTGGGTAGCTTAAGCAGTTCAATTGATAACTCATCCTTCTGACATCCATTAGAAATAGCAAAGTACCTGTGCACAGAGCTGCTGGGTGCTGTTGGGCTTTTTGCTCAGTTTCTGTACCTGGGCATCACCGCTGACTTCTGTACATGGTTTCCACCTTCCCCCAGAGCTTTACACCTTGGTCTTGTCACTGTTCAAGCACATACAAGTATACTCTTGAACAGGAAAGCACTGTAACTTAAACTCTGTACAGCCTTTTCTGATTTGTTACGTACTCTTTTGCCAAAGTCTCATTTTTTTTTCTGTACAATGCAATATTACCTTGCTTTCACCAAAATGTATTTGTATAATTTCTGTCATATTGATGATGTCACTTACCTGTTTCCTTCCATTGCTCGGATCATCTCAATTCTTCATGAAATGTGTGCAGCACTTAAGGACTTCTGTGGACTGTGTTGATCATCTCTGATGGGGCTATCAGTAATAATGTCTGTTTTTCTTATACAAAGATGGAATTATCCAAAACTAATTGCTGGATAAGAACCTGCAACTGAACATATTTCTTTCACCCATGTTGCCTTTTGCTGTTGTAGACTAGATGTTTGTTATTGTATTGCTTTCTTCAAAACCATGGCTTTTTGATAGCTACTGAAGGTCTGACAGCTGGTATTTTCTGATGAGTTCCATAGGATTTGTTCTTTTCTTTTGAGTGCTCCTATGGCTTATATCTTTTGTTTCTTATGCCTCTTAGCACCTGCTGAACTTTAAAGGACTTAAAGCACCTGATATAATGGCTCCTGGCCTGTAGTGGTACTGCCTCTATAGACCTGTCAAGTAAAGTTGTAATTGAGTCTGGTTACCAAAGAGCATTTCCATTAAAAGAAATAAAAGGTGTAGAAAGTGCCCATAGGAGATCTGAAGAACTGGATAAAAAAAATTCTGAAAACATACAAAGAATTTAAGTGAATTATTTTTGCATTGAATGTAAGATCTACACCTTGTTTAAAAATAAAAATGAATTTGTGTTTCGGAGTTGCTCAAGAAAATAGGTGCTAATGAGATTTTAATTCTGTGCTTGTCTGAGCAAGTGAGGAGACGCACAAAAAGTGTGACAGGTTTTTTAATTTGGAGGATGGAGTTTGATGAGTTTTACATAAGAAGAATTTTAAAACTGACAGCTATTGTTGCAGCCATCACTTCAGGATTTGTCAATTGACTATGAAAGAAGAATGGATTACCTGAAATACTGAAAGTAATTGACACTATGTTGAGTTCAGCATATATTTAATTACTCCTGCAAGAGGTATACTCAGAGTCACCCTGCTTTGATCTGTCACTCCTTACTGATGGTCTTAAAAAAGGATTCTGAGCACCTGGAGTAGGGCCTTCAAATCTGTGTGTGTTACTGTGTCCAGCTCCTAGGAGTGGAAGAAATAGCATGAAGCTGTAGGGTAGCACCTACTTGTCTCCCTTCTCTCAGCACTGGAAAGAAGGAGCTGGGGAAGGAGAGTGAAACCATTGTGATACAGGGATAGGGAACTAAGTGGACAGATGATAGAAAAGAACACTCCTCATTAACCATACAATTTTCTTCTAATGGCTGTAATTAGTAATAGCTTTGGGCATCTTATCAAGGCTTTCTAATCTGAGTACAAGAAAAACATTTCTGCTTGTTCTGGATGGAAGAAATAATTAATGGATTAAGCATTGGCTGTATTAAAAGCTAAGTATGGCTTCTGGAATGTAGATAAAATCCTTTCTTAGGTAATCATAGCTCTTAATGCCTTCCCCTGTGTGAGATGCTTCTCAGATCTAACAGACCCCTGGAAATAACTGTCAAACGTTTGAAGTAACTGCTTGACTCAGTATGGGTAGAAATAGCATTAATAACACTTTTCTTCTAGAAAAGAGGCTGTAGGGGCTCTTTGACAGATTCTACCACATTTTTGTAAGTACTCTGTATTGCAGCAGCTGAAAACATCAATGATTTCTATCTTCCCACATACTTTCTCACTGTGTTATATCTGTCCTTGAGATGATGTTTCCCAAAATACAGTTTGTGATTCACTGTGGAAAAACCCTTTTCCTAAAGATTTATCTAAGCACTGTAAATAGTGGAAATCTTTACTGCAGACAACTTGAATACTATGATACTGGGAAGTCCTGGGTTGCAGTTGCAAACATTTTAAAAATGTGGGGTTGTACAGTCTTCTGTGATCAAATAAGCCTTTTTCATCTCTACCAACAAAATACTGATGAAAAGGGCAACACGAGTTAGGGGAAAAAAAATAAAGATCTGGACATTTCTAATGCTATGTGAAAGTAAACATTGTTTGTAAACTGAAAGAACATACATAGATCCAAAGTGGCCAAAAGCAATTGGCTTTAATTTAAAAAGGCAGGTATAGCAGTTGGACAGACCA